GAACAGGAGGAGTCAGAGAAGACCTTTCTGAAGAGGGTGAAGGGGTGGGTGAGAAGACCATCGAGTGAGATGGACAGTAGTGCCCAGAGCTAGAGGTCAGAGGTGCGTGGCTCATTGGAGGAACCACAGGGACTTCAGAGCACTGATGGGGACGGGAGCAGCAGGGAGTGAGGCTGAAAACATAGGCAGGGGCAGAGCAGGAAGGGCCCATCTCAGGATAAGGAGCTTGGGTTCCATTTGGAAGCTGTGGGAGGTCAGGAGAGGTATTAATCAGGACTTGATGTAATGAGCAGGACCTCTCTGGGTGCAGTGTTAGAAGGTGGCAGAAGACCAGCCCCCTCAGTAAGGGCAGTGATGCAGGGAGTGGGCGGGAGAGATGTTGAAGGGAAGAGTTGATGGACCACAGTAGCATGGGAGAGACTGTGAGGTGGGGTAGAGAGAGCATGGCTTTGGGGCCAGGCAAATAAGAAGTTGAACCCCTGATCTACCATTTGCTGGTCGAGGGACGTGGGTGAACTAACTTCTGCTTTCTTGTCTGTACCACAGAAATGATATCCACAGCAGAGGGGAGGGTGAAACAACCATGAAATGTCTATAAGAGCTCCGTACAGTATATGTATATTGGTATCATCAGGTGAGATGCACAAAAGGCCAATTTTTCTGGAGCTTGAAGGATGGAGACCCAGGGAAGCCTCTCCCCCCCGCCCCCCAAACACATGGGCAGATTGTTAGGAAGTAGGACCCATTGGGGAGCACACGCTGGCTAAGTGCAGGTGACACAGGAATTCAGAAGAGGCCAAGGTGGATTCACAGGTGCTTCCCAGGTGTGTTCAGCCTGGGTACAGGTAGAGGGAGGAAAGGGCCTGGCACATTGTACCCATGGGCACACTCCAGCACTGCACTCCAGTGCCAAGGTCAAGGAGCCTCTGACAGCCTTTCAGAAATGTATTTCCTTCTAGAAAACGGTCTTTCCTCACTCCTGCTTATGATTTTGGATTCCATCTTTTTATTTGCTGCTAAACTAGTATGCCAGGGAGCATCTTTGGTAAGTGGGGCACTTGGTATAAGGGCCGGCCAGACCCGGCTGACCTCAGTGGGAGGGTGTTGCCCAGAGTCAGGCAGGGAAGCAGATACAGACATAGGCTTTCAGACCAGTGTCACTTTATTAGCATAGAGATGGCAGGGGGACAGGTGGGATCTTTAGTTGTTGGCAGCCATGGTCTCCTCAATCCAGTCCACGAAGTTGCAGACCCTGGTGTAGACACCAGGCTTGTTCTTCTGGGCACAGCCATAGCCCCAGGAGACAACTCCCTGAAGCTCTCCGTTGCAGACCACGGGGCCACCAGAATCACCCTGGGGAGGAAGAAGGGTACAACACAGTTTAAAGGAGGGAGAAAGCGGGGAGCACAGCTTATGGCCTTGGGGATTCAAATCCAGCCTCTAGGCAGGCCATGTGGATGGGGCAGGCGTCTTAGCATGGGAAAGGGCAATCACCTGGCAGGAATCCTTGCCACCCTCGAGGAAGCCGGCGCACACCATGTTGTCGGTGATCTGGCCGGGGTACGCGGCTTCACACTGCTCCTGGGCCAGCAATGGGGCATCCAGGCACTGCAGCAGCTCAGGGTAGTTGACTTTGAGGAACAGGAAGAGATAAAGGAAAGGAGAAATGAGAGTCAGGCCAGGATGGAGGATGGTAATCTGGGGCTGACCCCAAGAACCTAAGCCCCAGCAAGAATCAAGGTGATTCAGTTCCCAGAATGGTCACTGCTGAGCCCCTCCCTGGAGGTGAGAATGGCAAGTGCTATGCTTGTCCTATTCTGGGTCAACTCCTAGAGACTCTGCGTCTCTCTGGCCTCTAGGACAGAGCCTGAGGGTGGTGGACACTTGACATTATTTGCAGACTGGATGCCGAGGGTGCTGAGCTCAGGCGATGCTCCATTCTGGGAAACATTTGGAAGTCAGAGAGTGAAGAAGTGAGAACCCCACTCACTGCCAGAGCTCAGGGTGTTGCCCCAGCCGGAGATGAGACACTGGGTGCCAGCAGGCGCACAGGAGGTGGGCAGGGAGATGGTGGACACCCGGGAACTGATGACCGCAGGAGAGGACAGCTTGATCAGCATGATGTCATTGTCCAGGGTCCAGCTGTTGTAGCGAGGGTGGCGGATGACCTTGGCGGAGTTGATGAACTGCTCATTCCCCTCATCGACCTCGATGTTGTGCTCTCCCAGCCTCACCTGGATGCGACTGTTGGGAGAGGAGAACTGAGGACCTATTCACACATCCCCCCTCTTTCCTGGGATACCCAGCTCCCTGCTCATGGTGTGTTGGAGGTTAAAGCAAACAGCAGTTAACATGGAAAAGAGACATGGGAAGGCCAATGGACTTTGATAGTCGGCAGGGCTGAATATCAGCACAAGTTTTGCTCCAGCTGTGATTGTAATGGCTGCAGGCGATTTCCCGACCTGATAATCTTTACTTCATTAACCAAACTTTACCTTTGATCTGCCTGTATTCATTGTTAAAGGGCAAATGTGTATTCAAAGTGAATAAAAAGCAGACTAGGCCAGAACTCCGTCTGCCTCTTCATGAAAGAGGTTTCCACCTGTCCCCCGCCCCCCATGCCTTCTAAATTCATATTTTTTGTATAGTGTATCTATTGTGTCACCGGCCCTCCTTCAAGTTATTCTGAACCCACTGCGAAGGTCGTGGCAATGGTGGGGCTGTGCCCATGCACAGGGCAGCAGAGGATTAGGGGGTAGTATAGTTGAGACACCAAGAGCCTTTCTGCTTCAGATGTGGGTGTTAGTGGAGCTGGGATGGGGTGAAGGGGTCCAGTTGCAGTGGCTCCTCAATCTGCTTTTCCAGCTGTGCCTCCCCCCCCCTCGCAACCCATGCCTCCAATGTCATGGGCACAGATGAGCTTCTTGAAGCCCCCAGGCATTGCTCACACTCTGTGACTTTGCTATGTACAGCGGTGACTTTTGCTCCCTTCCTGGTCTGGTAAGCACTATAGTTCTGGATGATATAATCCAGTGGGTCTCCAAGTGTGGCCCCAGGACCTTGTTAGACATGCAAAGCCTTGGTTTCCACCCCACACCTACTCAACCAGAACCTCTGGGGGTGGGATCTAGCCACCCATGGTCCAGCAGATCTGCCAGGCTATTCTGACCCACACTTAGTTTTGCAAACCCTTGCTCTAGGAGGTGATTCTCAGCTGAGAGCGTTCAAAATTTAGACACCTCTTCCTGAAAAGCCTGAATTAATTACCTTGGGACAGGCCCCTGGCGTTTTTCTTTTTCTTTTTGTTTTGTTTTCTTTTCTTTTTTTAAAAACTGCCACAAAGCCC